TTTTAAGGTTATCAAAAATGATAAAAAGAGAGGAACTGTTAAGGAATAATTCTTCTAGATATCTAACCTTTTGCTCTGTGACGTTTTATGATCTACTCTGACGTCTGTTATCTCCTTTAAGGAAAGGCCTTGGTGCCATATGTGTTGTTGTCACCAGTTTGTGACCGGTCAACTTGTCTGGCACGAATGGTAATTGTTGTGAGAACGCTGAGGCACTTCTTTATCTGTGTTTGTGGACTCTAGGATGTGAAATCCTTGAGGCCATGAGTGTCGGACGCAGGTGGCTCAGTGTTCCCAGCTGTTTAGTCTACTCCTTCAGAGATGTTGATTTCTCTCTGTGAACCTGTTAAAAGGTCTAGCATAGAGAGAGGCTCTTCAGAATTGACGTGGCAACTCTACCGTGTAGTCAGAACCTCTGACTCTTTGATTTGTGATGTGAATCCTCCGGCCGAATACTCTGAATAAACCCATCAGTGTTTGACATCAAAGCTCCAACTCTCACCGTGTCTCCTTCCTGAGTCGGTGACTCCATGCATTACTACACAGAAGTTTCCTCCACACCCAGCAGCACTCAGTACCTCGAGGTCAGCAGCCTGGCAGCAGGAGACTCTGCTGTTTACTTCTGTGCTCGTGACACACAGTGACTAAAGACAGTGGAGCAGCTGCACAAAAACCTCCACTAACCACAAAGCAATGTGATCCTATACACTTCTGGGTTTTCTCTAAAATTGCAATAACACTTGGATGATGTATCCCCATCAGATTTATATGTATTTCCCATTAATCACCAGATAGTCCCTCATGATATCTCATTATTTTATTTTAAATAACACATGTTATATTTGTGAATACAAGCCACAAATTACATTGAATATGAAAAGAGAAACAAGCTGAAAAACAATATTTGATCAGACAGAGAGCTTGGCTGGGTTACTAGATTATTAGAAAAGTGAAATGTGAGAGGAGAATAAAGCACATTTCCTAAACACTACTATATATTAGTGATCAGAATAATATTGTAGATTATTTAGATTATAGTAAATATGCTTCCATTATGATCAAAGTGACTTATGTGAAACAGAGCATTGATACCAACATGAATGATCTCATATATATATAGAATTTGTTTAGGTTAATGTGATAAATATAAATTATGATTTCACAGGTTTGAATAATTTGTGTATATACTTGTCAAAAGTCGGAGCAAACATAATCATCTGTGTATTATTAGAATACATTTGTTTTTTATGTTAGAGCTATACTGATAGACATTCTACAAAATGTATAACTAGTTAAGAGAAAAGTCTAAACTGCTGAGATGGAGAGTTGATATTTTTTACAAACCCTGTGAGGAGGAGTCAATGCAAAACTCAGATATCTCCCTCTCTACTTATGTGACTGCAGAGAGGAGGACAGAGGACAGAGGACACATAGTTTAACATGATGGACTATAGGACAGGACTGCTGCTGCTCACTTTCTGCTGGGCAGGTCAACATCTTTACTGATCTTTATCTAACACAGATTTTAATTGTGTCAACAGCTTATTTCACCAGATGTGTTTTTATCCTCTTTACAGGTGTTGATGGTCAGACTCTGACAGAATCTGAACCAGTGACTAAAAGGCCTGGAGAATCTCACAGATTGACCTGTACAGCCTCTGGATCACATTCAGTGACTACAGGATGAACTGGGTCAGACAGGCTCCTGGAAAAGGACTGGAGTGGATCGCTTATTTCGACACTGGTAGCACCCCGTACTACTCTGAGTCATTTAAAGGCCGGTTCACCATCTCCAGAGACAACAACAGACAGCAGGTGTATCTGCAGATGAGCAGTCTGAAGGCCGAGGACACAGCAGTGTATTACTGTGCCAGAGACACACAGTGAGAGACAGTAACAGGAGAGCCGTACAAAAACTACTTCCTCTATTTACCACCACCCATGAGAGCATTCACTTTATATTGAAATACTGAGTAACTGAATATTGACATCCTATTTCATCTCATTTGACGCAATGTTTGATTCAGTTGCAACCTAAAGAAATATAGTGAATTTAAACAGAAAATATGTATTTCTTTGTCTTTTGTGCCTCGATCAAAATGTATTTTCATTTAATCGTTTATTGGAACCGGGACAGTGCACATCGATGAACACTTTAACACAAAAAAATGCTTCCAAGCGTAAATGAGCCGGATTTGAGCTTTAAGCTAATTTCCATCCGCAGTCCCGTATCACAGATAATATATAAAAAATATTAAAGGTTTCCCATTTCAAACAACTCAGCTGTTTATCTGATTCAGTATGGTTAAGCTGTGCCCATGTATCTCTAGAAGTACATTAATGAAAGCACACTTTGATTACATTAAGCATTAAAAAACATCTATTAGATTTGCCGATTGAACACAAATCATCATTATATCATAAACATTATCATCAGGAAAGCTTTATCTGTTTGAATTTGAAACATTACTGTAACATAACTACCAAATGAAGCAAATTCTATATTTAACACTGGAGACAAACAACTGATTCCAGTCAGCTAACTGGCAAACTTTAATCCACCGTAAACACATTTGAGAAGTTGATTCAATAACAAATATTTATTAACAATGTTTCCCTCCTCTTGCACTTGATGTAGCTCCTGTATCTTCTCTTGCACTTTATATATCGTAGCTGCTACATTGTACTGCCATGTGGTTAATGCTTGTATATGCTGCTCATGCTCTTTCTGCATATCATGTATTTATTTTTGCTATGTATATAAATGTCATGTTCTTAAATGTTGTATGTGAGGGACTACGGACGGAAATGAGCTCAAAGCTAAAATCCGGCATGTTTACGTTTTAAAGCATTATTTGTCTTAAATGTTCATCAATATGCACTCTTCAAATACACGATGAAATGAAATAAATAAAGAAGCAGCTCTGATCTAACCCAATTTAAATCAAATACACCTGAGATTAATGGTTAGTTAATTAATTTAATTTATTGTCATATTGGATGTAGGCCTAGGTGAGTCCCTCTTGCAATCACAATCATTATACTTTACATGAAGTCTATTTTTAAACACACACACTTAGTTATAGGAGGAGTCAATGCAAAACTCAGATATCTCCCCCTCTACTTATGTGACTGCAGAGAGGAGGACAGAGGACAGAGGACACACAGTTTAACATGATGGACTATAGGACAGGACTGCTGCTGCTCACTGTCTGCTGGGCAGGTCAACATCTTTACTGATCTTTATCTAACACAGATTTTAATTGTGTCAACAGCTTATTTCACCAGATGTGTTTTTATCCTCTTGACAGGTGTTGATGGTCAGACTCTGACAGAATCTGAACCAGTGACTAAAAGGCCTGGAGAATCTCACAGATTGACCTGTACAGCCTCTGGATTCACATTCAGTGACTACAGGATGAACTGGGTCAGACAGGCTCCTGGAAAAGGACTGGAGTGGATCGCTTTTATCCACCCTACTAGCAGTAGCTACATCTACTACTCTGAGTCAGTGAAAGGCCGGTTCACCATCTCCAGAGACAACAACATACAGCAGGTGTATCTGCAGATGAACAGTCTGACGGCTGTAGACTCTGCTGTTTATTACTGTGCTCGAGACACACAGTGACTGAAGCTGGTTGAGCAGCTGTACAAAAACCCCTCATTATTACCACACTTTTCTCACACTGTTAATGTGAGATTTGGAATCTTTCCAATATCATGACACAACTTTAGTTACACCAAACAATGTAAAAAATATTTCTTAACTGATATCTGAATGTAGAAATGAAATCACTAAATAGAGTTATAATGTTTATTGCAGAACAGAGCCTTATCAAAATGTCTCTTTAGAGAAGACAGCAGCTGAACCATAAAAGCATTTATGTGCTAACATTTAGAAAATGGTCTAATCTGAGATCCTACGTCTTTTAACTTATTTAGTTTGCATTTTTCATGCACTGCAGAAATGTGTTTTTGCACATTGTCAAATAGGTCTCAGTTCCTTAGTAGTTTATGTCCTCTGAAGGCTCCAAGTTTCTCTGTATCTGTCCTCAAATTGCCACTATTTGAATAATGAAACCTTTAAAGTAAACAAAGAAACAAAATCCAGGTCTTCATCCAGCTGCAGCAAACACAAGTAAACATTTACACCATCATGCTTTCCTTCATTGCAGTTACAACATAAAAGAATACAAAACATATCGTTCAACCAATTTCTGAATTAGTTTCAAATTGTTACAACTAAAACAATGATTAGAAGTAAAGCTTTTATGTTACTCATATGAGTTATAGTCAAATTCAAGAAAAAAAAATAATCAACTGGATCTTTCGTTGAAAAATAATAATTATAGTATTTTAATCAATAGTTCATTTTAGTCAACAATTGCCTTAAATAGCTATTTGCTGCTAGTTTAAATGATGTTTAATGCTGTTTGTATTGCCTTGAATTTGACTTTTAAAGCAGAATGCAAAGTAGGAGGAGCTAATCGTCAAATGAATTCTCAAAGGGATCAAGTTTACTTCATATTTAAAGAGCGACTCAAGCTTTTGAAAACACAAGAAACTGTGTGATCATGGCTCAGGGAAAGCTAACACTCTTGGTGGTTGCTCTGTTTGTTTGGTCTGTCGCTGAAGGTCAGACCATAACTGAGTCTGAACCAGCAGTCAGGAAACCCGGAGAATCTCACAGACTCACCTGCACAACATCTGGATTCAACTTTAGAAGCTCAGTATGGAACTGGATCAGACAGGCTCCTGGGAAAGGACTGGAGTGGATCGCTTTCACACACACAGCTAGTACTCCGATCTATTACTCTCAGTCGGTCCAGGGCAGGGGCGGACTGGGACTACAAATCAGCCCGGGACTCTCCGCCGGCCCACCTCGGTAAATTATCAACGGGGGGGGGGGGGGTGTGCTAGTGACTTATCCGAGCGGCCCACATCGTCCGCGACCGGCCCACTTCAGTACCGGCCCATCGGGATTCGTCCCGAACGTCCCGATGGCCAGTCCGCCCCTGGTCCAGGGTAGATTCACTATCTCCAGAGATGACTCCAGCAGTAAAGTGTATCTGCAGATGAACAGTCTGAAGGCCGAGGACACAGCAGTGTATTACTGTGCCAGAAGAGACACAGTGAGAGACAGTAACAGGAGAGTCGTACACAAACTACTTCCTCTATTCAATACCACCACTTGAACATTAAACAGATCCTTAACTACATTTATTGCAATGCTCATATTTTGTAAAAGTCGCCCCTTTTTCACTATTAAAATATCTAATGATATAACATAACTAATGATGTAGGTACATTAAAAACTCTTCAAATTCTTCTCATGAGAAAAGGACAAAAATAAAACCATCTTTAGCAAAAACAGAATTAACTCAGGATACTCTGCAACTTCTACAGGTGCACCATAGAGAGTATCCTGACTGGCTGCATCACGGCTGCATCACGGCCTGGTACGGCAGCTGCACCGACCTCAATCGTAAGGCTTTACAGAAGGTGGTGAAAACTGCACAGCACATCACCAGGACGGAGCTGCCATCCATGGAGGAGCTTTACTCCCAGCGGCTCAGGAAGAAATCCCTACGGATTATCAAAGACCCCCATCACCCCAGCCACAAACTGTTCTTTCTGTTGCCGTCTGGCAGACGTTACCGCAGCATCCTGGCAAAAACAAAAAGATTCGGAGACAGTTTCTTCCCGCGGGCAGTGAGACTGTTAAACAATTGAACTGCTGAAACAATTTCATAACATTCATCTGCTACTTAGTAATATATATCTACTATCTAATATATATCATTCCAATAACTTGTATATAGACTCGTACTGCACTATTCCACATACTCACTTTATTTTAGAACTATTTTTCTTTTTGTATTACTTTTAATATCTGTATTATTATGTTGCATTGTTGGAGAAGCCTGTGACATAAGATTTTCAACGACATAATTACTCTGTAGCTATGTTAGTTTGACAATTAAAGAACCTTGAACCTTGAACTGTCATTAGTAAACCACTCAAATAAAAAGATCACATAAGTGGTTTTGTTTTACATATATTTTAAGGATAATAATAGCAATTTCACTCTATCTATGACACTTCTAACACTGATTTGAAAAACATACAGAAAAAATAAATTCACTGCCCTTAATAAAGTATTTAAATATACATTTCAGGTGTGCTGTCCCATTTCACACAAGGCAGCTGTTTATCTGATTCAGTATGGTTAAGCTGTGCCCATGTATCTCTAGAAGTACATTAATGAAAGCACACTTTGATTACATTAAACAGTAAAAAACATCTATTTGATTTGCCGATTGAACACAAATCATCATTATATCATAAACATTATCATCAGGAAAGTTTTATCTGTTTGAATTTGAAACATTACTGTCACATAACCACAACCAAATGAAGCAAATTCTATATTTAACACTGGAGACAAACAACTGATTCCAGTCAGCTAACTGGCAAACTTTAATCCACCGTAAACACATTGGAGAAGTTGATTAAATAAAAATAATATATAAATAATGTTTCCCTTAAAGAAGCAGCTCTGATCATCTAATCTCTAACCCAAATTAAATCAAATACACCTGAGATTAATGGTTAGTTAGTTAATTTAGTTTATTATCGTATTGGATGTAGGCCTAGGTGTCCCTCTGGCAATCAAAATCATTATATATTTTTTTTGTCCCTTTATAAATGGCCTTGCAAAATTATTCTTAAAAAGACACACAAACTTAGTTATAGGAGGAGTCAATGCAAAACTCAGATATCTCCCCCTCTACTTATGTGACTGCAGAGAGGAGGACAGAGGACAGAGGACACACAGTTTAACATGATGGACTATAGGACAGGACTGCTGCTGCTCACTGTCTGCTGGGCAGGTCAACATCTTTACTGATCTTTATCTAACACAGATTTTAATTGTGTCACCAGCTTATTTCACCAGATGTGTTTTTATCCTCTTGACAGGTGTTGATGGTCAGACTCTGACAGAATCTGAACCAGTGACTAAAAGGCCTGGAGAATCTCACAGATTGACCTGTACTACTTCTGGATTCTCATTCGGCTACTACATTGCCTGGATCAGACAGGCTCCTGGAAAAGGACTGGAGTGGATCGCTTCGATCCACCCTACTAGCAGTGCCAACATCTACTACTCTGAGTCAGTGAAAGGCCGGTTCACCGGCTCCAGCAACAGCAGACAGCAGGTGTATCTGCAGATGAACAGTCTGACGGCTGTAGACTCTGCTGTTTATTACTGTGCTCGAGACGCACAGTGACTGAAGCTGGTTGAGCAGCTGTACAAAAACCCCTCATTATTACCACAGTTTTCTCACACTGTTAATGTGAGATTTGGAGTCTTTCAATATCATGACACAACTTTAGTTACACCAAAGAATGTAACAAATATTTCTTAAGAGATAGCTGAATGTAGGAATCATATCACTAAATAGAGTTATCATGTTTATTGCAGACTCTTATCAAAATGTCTCTTTAGAGAAGACAGCAGCTGAATCATAAAAAGCATTTATGTGCTAACATTTAGAAAATGGTCTAATCTGAGATCCTACGTCTTTTAACTTATTTACTTTGCATTTTTCATGCACTGCAGAAATGTGTTTTTGCACATTGTCAAATAGGTTTCAGTTCCTTAGTAGTTTATTTCCTCTGAAGGCTCCAAGTTTCTCTGTATCTGTCCTCAAATTGCCACTATTTGAATACTGAAACCTTTAAAGTAAGAGAATAAACAAAACCCAGGTCTTCATCCAGCTGCAGCAAACACAAGTAAACATTTAGACCATCATGCTTTCCTTCATTGCAGCTACAACATAAAAATAATACAAAACATATCGTTCAACCAATTTCTGAATTAGTTTCAAATTGTTACAACTAAAACAATGATTAGAAGTAAAGCTTTGATGTTACTCATATGAGTTATAGTCAAATTCAAGAAAAAAAAATAATCAACTGGATCTTTCGTTGAAAAAGAATAATTAAAGTATTTTAATCAACAGTTCATTTTTGTCTACAATTGCCTTAAATAGCTATTTGCTGCTAGTTTAAATGATGTTTAATGCTGTTTGTATAGCCTTGAATTTGACTTTTAAAGCAGAATGCAAAGTAGGAGGAGCTAATCGTCAAATTAATTCTCACAGGGATCAAGTTTACTTCATATTTAAAGAGCGACTCAAGCTTTTGAAAACACAAGAAACTGTGTGAACATGGCTCAGGGAAAGCTAACACTCTTGGTGGTTGCTCTGTTTGTTTGGTCTGTCGCTGAAGGTCAGACCATAACTGAGTCTGAACCAGCAGTCAGGAAACCCGGAGAATCTCACAGACTCTCCTGCACAACATCTGGATTCAACTTTGGAGGCTCACTATGGAACTGGATCAGACAGGCTCCTGGGAAAGGACTGGAGTGGATCGCTTTCATACACACAGCTAGTACTCCGATCTATTACTCTCAGTCGGTCCAGGGTAGATTCACTATCTCCAGAGATGACTCCAGCAGTAAAGTGTATCTGCAGATGAACAGTCTGAAGGCCGAGGACACAGCAGTGTATTACTGTGCCAGAAGACACAGTGATAGACAGTAACAGGAGAGTCGTATTATTATTATACTGCTGTTTAACAGGATAACCTGTCATATCATTTTTATTTTTACAGATGTGAAGTGTGAACAGTTGACACAGCCAGCCTCTGTGACTGTGCAGCCAGGTCAACGTCTGACCATCACCTGTCAGGTCTCTTATTCTGTGGGCAGACATCATACTCAATAGATCAGACAGCCTGCAGGGAAAGGACTGGAGTGGATTATCGGCGCACGTGTTGGATACTCCACATTCCAAAAAGATTCACTGAAGAGCAAGTTCAGTATCGACTTAGACTCTTCCAGCAACACAGTGACTCTGAACGGACAGAGCGTGCAGCCTGGAGACTCTGCTGTGTATTACTGTGCCAGAGACACACTGTGACACACACCATCAGTAGAGCTGTACAAAAACCCCTCAGAGCCTGAACACTTGTAACATGAAGCCACCAGAGGAGGAGCCCTCAGACCAGAAATGATCTCAACACCAGCTCACTGTTACAGTCAAGAGGGAAAGAGTACTAAGATGTCATAGAAATATTCTTGACTTAATTCAACAGAAAGGGTTTTCACCAATTTAAACAATCTGACATTACAATCACTGATACTGTATATCATTGTAGGTATAGCATCTAAAAGGGATAGTAAGACCATAAGTTCGTTTTAAAAGTGTCTGATAATATAGTAGATTCCTTTGTATAGTAGAATGGGATCCTCTAAGATAGTTCCTATTAAATAATTATTCAATAACATATGTAAAAGACAACTTTATCATTGTCATAACTGGATTAGGAGAATAATTAATAGTTTTTATCCGACTTCATATTTTGATAAAACTATAGAAAAGTTTGTTTTATAATCTAAATGTTGTTGCTCAACCTTTTCTCTGTGATTAAAACCACACCTGAACATTTCCTCATCTTTTGGATAATTTACATTAACTTTAGTCAGCTGTTTTCCAATCATCAGTATGCAAATGATCTGTGTGTGTGTTGCCTCATAAACCAGCGAAGTGTGTGTGTGTGTCAGAGAGAGGACAGAAGAGCTCACATCAGTTCAGCTTCAACATCAACATGTTCTCTGCAGCTCTGATACTGCTGCTGGCAGCTGGATCCTGTGAGGAGCTTTCAGTGGATTCTCACTAATAAACACATCAGAAACACTGAGTGGTCAGATGAATGATGGAGATAATGTTGCTTTGTGTTTCCACAGGTGTGAACAGTATTGATCTCATCCAGCCAGACTCAATGGTTGTGCCGCCTGGACAGCCTTTGACCATCACCTGTCAGGTCTCTGGTTATTCTCTGACTGATAGCAGCTATGCAACAGGTTGGATCAGACAGTGTGAAGGAAAACCAATGGACTGGATTTCACATTTGTGGGGTGGAGGTAGCTTAACTCAAAACAATGCTCTGAAGAACAAGTTCAGCAACAGCAGAGACACTTCTGCTGGAACAGTGACTCTAACAGGACAGAGTGTGCAGCCTGCAGACACAGCTGTGTATTACTGTGTACGTCAGCCCACAGTGACACAAACCACCAGCAGACCTGCACAAATACTCAGCAACCACTGTTTAAATGTGACCAATGATATACACCTCACTCTCTGATAAGTTCTTTAAATAATTCCTCGAAATGTCTGGGAAATATTATTTCACTTCCACTGCAGCCAAGATCAGTATAGAAGAGACTGAGAGAAAATTCATTTTGTACAAATGCAAAACATATATGATACGTTTGAATTTTTACACAATTATTATTGCATTGCGTAGAAAATGCAGAACATATCGTTTCTGTTTTGATCTACTGGAATAGAAAATAACAGTAGCTCTACCACTGAAGAAACAGGATGTCATTGCAGAACATAAACAAACTAATTTCCTCTTTTTTGTTGTTTTCATGAATCCAGAAATAAGTTGACAGCAAATGTAAGTGAATGTGAAATGTAAATGCAGCCGTCGTAGAGATACTCTGCTTATGGAAATGTTGATGTCACATGTTCCTTTTTGAATCTGTAGAGGGAGGTCGATGCAAACTCTTCCTCTCTTTAAAACACACCATCAGCGACTTGTTGCAGAACACCAGAGAAGTGTTATATGTTTCTGAAACACTCAGATCAGAAAGCACTGACAGTGTTTCTCACATAATGGAAAGGACAATTATCTGGAGTTTATTATTTTTAGTTACTATTCATGGTGAGAAAATCTTCTCTGATTTACTTTTTTTATTTCTTTGGTCAAATGTTGGATAATGAGCAAAAATGATTTACTTACAGGAGTCTGGAGTGAGATCAAACTGGAGCAGTCCTCCTCTCAGGTGCAAACACCTGGAGGGACAGTGAAGATGTCATGTATCACATCTGGTTATAACATGATACATAATAGTATTCACTGGATCAGACAGAGGTCAGGACAAGCTCTGCAGTGAGTTGGGTGGATGGACACAGGGTCAAACTCTCCTATCTATGGCAGCTCCTTTCAAAGCCGCTTCACCATGACTGAAGATGTTCCCAGCAGCACTCAGTACCTCGAGGTCAGCAGCCTGGCAGCAGGAGACTCTGCTGTTTACTTCTGTGCTCGACACACAGTGACTAAAGACAGTGGAGCAGCTGCACAAAAACCTCCACTAACCACAAAGCAATGTGATCATATACACTTCTGGGTTTTCTCACAAACTCAAAAAGCACTTTGATGTATCCACATTAGATTTCTATGTGTTTCCCATTAATCACCAGATAGTCCCTCATGATATCTTATTATTTTATTTTAAATAACACATGTCATATTTATAAATACAAGCCACAAATTACATTGAATATGAAAAGAGAAACAAGCTGAAAAACAATATTTGATCAGACAGAGAGCTTGGCTGGGTGACTAGATTATTAGAAAGGTGAAATGTGAGACTTTAATAAAGCAAATTTCCTAAACACTACTATATATTGGTGATCAGAATAATATTGTAGATTATTTAGATTATAGTAAATGTGCTTTCATTATGATCAAAGTGACTTATGTGAAACAGAGCATTGATACCAACATGAATGATCTAATTAGAATTTGTTTAGGTTAATGTGATAAATATAAATTATGATTTCACACATTTGAATAATTTTTTTATAAACTTGTCAAAAGTCGGAGCAAAGATAATCATCTGTGTATTATTAGAATAAATGTGTTTTTGATGTTACCGCAATACTGATAGACATTCTACAAAACGTGAAACTAGTTAGAGAAAAGTGTTAACAGCTGAGATGGAGGGTTGATATTTTTTACAAACCCTGTGAGGAGGAGTCAATGCAAAACTCAGATATCTCCCCCTCTACTTATGTGACTGCAGAGAGGAGGACAGAGGACAGAGGACACACAGTTTAACATGATGGACTATAGGACAGGACTGCTGCTGCTCACTGTCTGCTGGGCAGGTCAACATCTTTACTGATCTTTATCTAACACAGATTTTAATTGTGTCACCAGCTTATTTCACCAGATGTGTTTTTATCCTCTTTACAGGTGTTGATGGTCAGACTCTGACAGAATCTGAACCAGTGACTAAAAGACCTGGAGAATCTCACAGATTGACCTGTACAGCCTCTGGATTCAGATTCAGTAGCTACAGCATGAACTGGGTCAGACAGGCTCCTGGGAAAGGACTGGAGTGGATCGCTTATATCTACAGTGATGGCAGTAGCTACATCTACTACTCTGAGTCAGTGAAAGGCCGCTTCACCATCTCCAGAGACAACAACAGACAGCAGGTGTATCTGCAGATGAACAGTCTGAAGGCCGAGGACACAGCAGTGTATTACTGTGCCAGACACACAGTGAGAGACAGTAACAGGAGAGTCGTACAAAAACTACTTCCTCTATTTACCACCACCCATGAGAGCATTCACTTTATATTGAAATACTAAATAATAAACAAGATCAACAAATATTTTGGAGCGCACTTCCACAAGCTACTAAACATATATAAATATGATAAATACAAATAAATTAGACCAAAATAAATTAGATCAAATATGTTGCAGTGCACTGTCACAACCTAGCAAAGCAAAATAATAGTTTTTTTTCGATTATGTTGTTTTCGTAATTGTGGCAGGCCAAAATCGTAATTGCGATTAAAATACGATTAATTGCACAGCCCTATTCAGTATGGTTAAAGTCTGTCCACATATCTCTAGAAGTACATTAATGAATGCAGACTTTGATAACATTAAACATTAAACAAATATTTGATTTGCCGATTGAACACAAATCATCATTTTATCATGAACATTATCAGGAAAGCTTCATCTGTTTGAATTTGAAACATTACTGTCACATAACCACAACCAAATGAAGCAAATTCTAAATGTAACACTGGAGACAAACAACTGATTCCAGTCAGCTAACTGGCAAACTTTAAGTCCACAGTAAACACATTGGAGAAGTTGATTAAATACATAAAATATATTAATAATGTTTCCCTTAAAGAAGCAGCTCTGATCATCTAATCTCTAACCCAAATTCAATCAAATACACCTGAGATTAATCGTTAGTTAATTAATTGAGTTTATTGTCGTATTGGATGTAGGCCTAGCTGTCCCTCTGGCAATCAAAATCGTTATTTTCTATTTGTTGTTGCTTTAAAAATGGCCTTGCAAAAATTATTCTTAAAAAGACACACAAACTTAGTTATAGGAGGAGTCAATGCAAAACTCAGATATCTCCCCCTCTACTTATGTGACTGCAGAGAGGAGGACAGAGGACAGAGGACACACAGTTTAACATGATGGACTATAGGACAGGACTGCTGCTGCTCACTGTCTGCTGGGCAGGTCAACATCTTTACTGATCTTTATCTAACACAGATTTTAATTGTGTCAACAGCTTATTTCACCAGATGTGTTTTTATCCTCTTTACAGGTGTTGATGGTCAGACTCTGACAGAATCTGAACCAGTGACTAAAAGGCCTGGAGAATCTCACAGATTGACCTGTACAGCCTCTGGATTCACATTCAGTAGCTACTGGATGGCCTGGGTCAGACAGGCTCCTGGGAAAGGACTGGAGTGGGTTGCGAGTATGTATAACAGTGACAACATCTTCTACTCTGAGTCAGTGAAAGGCCGGTTCACCATCTCCAAAGACGACAACATACAGCAGGTGTCTCTGCAGATGAGCAGTCTGATTCACTATCTCCAGAGATGACTCCAGCAGTAAAGTGTATCTGCAGATGAACAGTCTGAAGGCCGAGGACACAGCAGTGTATTACTGTGCCAGAAGAGACACAGTGAGAGACAGTAACAGGAGAGTCGTACAAAAACTACTTCCTCTATTTACCACCACATCCTATTTCATCTCATTTGACGCAATGTTTAATTCAGTTGCAACCTAAAGAAATATAGTGAATTTAAACAGAAAATATGTATTTTCAAAGATAGGTAGAAAGCAAACGTATTTAAGATATGTTCAGAACAAACGTAACGTGGGACAAAAGACGTTTCTTGTTAAACGTAATTGAGAATGCTGTATGAAACGACTACAAACAATATTGTGATTATTAACCATTAACCAGCATAATAACGGATTTGGTCAACTGAAAAGTCAGCCGCCAGCCAGCGCGAAAATAAGTTTGCTCTAAAATGATATTAATAAATGACTATTATCATTATTATAAGCTAGAAAAGAAATGGCAAATATAGGTAGAAAGCAAACGTATTTAAGATACGTTCATAACAAACGTCATGTGAGAGAAAATAGGTTTCTAGAAGATATGTAGAAAATAAACGTATTTAAGATATGTTCATAACAAACGTAACGTGGAAGGAAATACGTTTCTTGCGAAACGTATTTGAGAATGCAATTTAGTTTTGTGGGAACGTAATTTCTAGGAGACAGGGTTGTGTCAGGGCTGTGAAAACACAATTCCCATTGGATGATCGCCAGCTGATAATGAAATGTATTTCATTTAGAAAAACATGTGTGTTATTGCGTTGAGACAGGTTGTCATGACTCACAGCAATGCCTGCATTTTTTTAAAGGATAACCTTATATAACATAAGTTTGAATCCAGTGAATACTGTGGTTTAAATAAAGAATTATGTTTTTACTGAAATAACATCTACTAATTTTGAGAGTTTTAGGAATTGTTTTTACAATAAATCAAATAATGGCAACACAATCCTTGCTAAGTCAACTATGGTGACTCTTCTACATCCTTAGAGACTTTTTCTGCAGCCTGAGGACACTGTTGGGTTTTACTGTGTAAGTGTAAGAAGTGCAAGGATATGAACCACCAACAAAGCCAACAAATGCTCAATAACCAAGTTACTCAACCACTAATTTTATGGGACCATGGGTAATTTTTTGGCATGGATAAAATACTTCAAAACAAAAAGGGAGCATGACTCTGAGTTTATTGTCAGATGTCAAATAGAAGGATAAGTGAATATAATAAAAACAAGACGAATAATTTAGTCAATTAGATCAAACTACAAGTCCCTGCATGAGCCCCTCCCTCCCCATGCTATCCTGAT